TATATATACAATATAGATATATATATATATATATATATATATATATATATATATATGAATATATATATATATATTCATGAGATTTTTTTGAAGAGAAAAAAAAAAGAAAAATTTTTCTTCAAAATTCTAAAGACCAAAAAATAATAAAAATTATATTAGATAAAATAGCCTAAAATAGCCTCAAATAGAACTTGTATTGTTTTACAAAAGAATATTGTAATATTGTATTGTAATATCATATATAATGATATTACAAATCTCTTCTAGATGGATCCATTTCCTGACTTTATTCAAATTCATTAGATTTTACACAATTAAATTTCTTTCTTAAAAAATAATATAAAACATTTTTTAAAATGACTTATAATTTAGGAAATAATTGCATTCGAACATTAAAATAAAATATTCTATATATATATGTATATTTATAATAATTACTTGTAATATAATGCGTATTTTCATATCATAATTTTTTTAATAAAAATTAAAAATTTTAATTTTTTGTTTTTTTTTTAAATTGCGTAGATTGATATTTATAGTTTAAATTAGTTATAAGATTTTATATATTTTTTTTTAACTATTTTTAGTATTTTTTAACTGTTATAAATAAAGTATATTTAGTGGTGGTTCATTCATAAGAACAGTTAAAATTCATATTAATTGAATATATCATATATATCATATGATATATAAAAATATGAATACATATTTTTACGAAATGAATTATATAAATCGATTTACTGTTTTGTTATATTAAAAAAAAAATATGATTATTGCAAATATGAAAAATTTTAATGATAAATAATTATAAATAAATTTATAAATAAAAAAATGTAATTTTGATATAAATAGATAATTATTGACATTTTTTTGTTTTTTTTTTTTATTATTTTTATATATATATTATTTTATATATATATTATCATTTTATATTTTATATATACATTTTTTACTTATTAATTATAATTCAAGTTTTATATATATATGTATATATACGAACTATTTGAAAATGATAATTATTCATGTATTGAAATATTTAAAAATTTACATTTGAATTTACTAAAAGATATTGACAAACACTAATAAATTCAGATAATATTTTTAAACTATAAAAATGTTAAATTTTATTATATAATAATAAAGAAAATATAAAAAATAATAAAAAAAGGTTTTTTTTAGCTATAAATAGATTTATTTAACAAATTTTCAAAAATATAATTAATTTATATAATTTATATTAAAATATAAATATTAAATAAAAATATAAATGAATAAATATTTATATAGTTTATATTTTAATTGAAGTTTTCTGAAATATATTTTTTTAATATAAAAAATAATTAAAATGAAGACATGTAAACGAAAATTAAATTTATTAAAAAATATTTTCAGTTATATCATATAAGAATTTAAAATAAATAATTATAAAAAAGAAAATATTTCATTAAGATGATTAATAATAATTTTATTCATATTTCAATTTTTTTTTTATTTTTTTTAGCATCGTGAAATTCATAACGAATAAGAAAGAACAAAGCAATAACATCGTTATATTTATCTTTGTTATAGGTTTTTTTTAAAGTTCTAAAACATAATGTTATTTTGCTAAATTTTTTAACCTTTTTCTAAAAACAAAACTTTAAATTATGCATTTCTTCCTATAATTTTTTTATTAAAAAATGTTATAAAAATCATTACTTTTAAATCTAATTAAACTATAAAGACTTTAATGGTGATGCACAAAGAATTTATAATAAATAAATTAATACGATTAAAAAGTTATTTTGATATTTATTGATTTTTACAAATAGACTTATATCATTTAAAAGAAACATTTTTACAATAATATTTAATAATTAAATTTTGAATTTTGAATTTACAAAGATATATAATATTAATTTTGTTATTATAAATGAAAAGAAGTTATTGATTGAACCAAAAAGTGAACTAAATTGAACTAAATTAATCTTAACTTATTTTAAAAATTGAACTTATATCACTTTAAAAATAAATGATTTATATAATTCCAGTTTTATTGCTACAATCCCACTATATTAAATTATATATTATTATAAATTCTTATGAACCATCACTACATATATTAAATTAATAATATTTGTAATAAAAAAAATCTCGATAAAATCTCGAAAGTTATTTAATGATTTAATTAAAAATTTGTATTCTAAGGTATTGAAATAATTAAAACATTATATTTTAATGTTTAGATTCTCTGGTTTTTGGGCATTCCTTTATTTCGTTGGATTTTGTTACTTAACCAATGCTTGGAATAAATCAGAAACACCGAAAAATAATTATGGAGTGAACAATGTTCAAAGCGCTATCGCTTTTTCCTTTTTCTCCATTTTTACTTGGGTAAATTAATCAAATAGTTTTATTTTATTAAATTTTTAATTTAATAAATCAATGTAATAAATATGTGATATAAATAAGTTTTCGAAATATTAATTAAAATAAAAAATTTATAAAATTAATACAAACAATATTTTTATATTTATACAATACAAAAATTTAATTATATAAAAATAAAAGATTACAATAAATTACAGAATATTACGAAAATATTATTTATTCTTAATTTAACATCTATATTTAAAATATATATATATCTGTGTGTGTGTATGTGTGTAATAGGCTGCCTGTGCATGGTTTGCGTTTCAAAGATTCAAACAAGGAACCGATGCTGCATTTGCACCAAGTTATGAAGCAGATCCTGTTGGTGGAACAGGATATACAAGTTATCCTGATGCGACTGATACTGGTTATCAAGAACCGCCTTTTGGCCAACAACAACAACAACAACAACAACAACAACAACAACAACGGATGCCCGATTTTCGAGCTCCAGCTTATTAATTCTGAAATATAATTTATCACTATCGGTAAAGTAAAATTTATATTATTTTTTAATTCAAATCAATATTTTATATTAATAAAACTACAAAATTATTATTAAATTAATCAATATATTTTATAAGGAAATACTAATTTTTAATAATATTAATATTTAAAGTGTTGTAAATTTTTTTTACTTAACATAACAAAAAATAATTTTTTATTGCATGTTATCTTTTTAGACACAACGTAAAAAAATAATAGGAAAAGAAGACAGAAGCTCTACAAAAAAATCTATAATGATTGAGCAATGTCGACAGAGTAAGTTATAATAATATAATAGTGAATGAAAGAAAAAGAAAAGATGAGTAAATGGGAAAAATAAAAAAATTATAAAAAAAAAATAAATGATATGAAGAGAAAAAAGAAAAGCAAGAAAGAGAACATGTATGTAAATACAAGATATTAATATATTCGTGAGATATATATCTTTTGAAGAATTGATTGTAAAGACCAAAATTTATATAAAAATGTTGGTTTATTTATTAAATTTTAAGCAATTTAAATTCGTAAATGATAATAAATGAAGTAAATAAATGAAGTAAGATAGAAATAAAATGTGATGGTAGTGTAAAGAAGGCAGAACGATCTCTTTTCATTTCATTTCATTGTACAAACTTCTATTGCTTATAGTTTATAATAAATAAATATTAACAGATATTTTTATATACTAATTTTTATATTTATTTTGATCTTTAAAATTGATTCTCGAATATTTTACTTCTGTCGAATATATTACTATTGGCTATGAATATATTAACATCCTGTAAATGAGTATGTATGTATACATGTATGAATGTGAAAAAATAGAATGTATGAATGTGTAGACGCAAGACAACAAAATGTTATTTGTTAAAACTGTGCTTCTTATTGTTGACCACTTATAAATCTCACACCTAAAAATCAGTGGACGTAAAAAAAAAAATATTTAAAAAAAAGAAAAATTGGGTTACTGCCCTTGCATAAAATATTTAAGATTGAAAGATAAATAAA